ACAAAGAAACAAAAAGTAAAGCTAATGTGGCATGTTGTGGATATATATGATTAACTATTTTCTTTTCTTATCTTCTTCATTTCTTCTTTCAGTTTTTCTTTTTCTTTTTTTTTTTCTCTTTTTTTTTCTTCTTCTTTTTCTTCTTCTTTTTACAATGAGTTATATAGTGACTTGTTTTAGTATAACTATCATTGTACAAACTTTCTGATAATCAACTTATTTAATTTATTTCAAAGGTTGTTAAAATCGGAATCCTAAGCGGGATCGTTAGGAGAGACTCATGAATCGGACCGTAAAATCGGATTTAAGATCGTAAGGTTCTACTTTCAACGTAAAATAAAATGAAAAGTTATGGATAATGATAATGTATGTTGCACAATTTTAAAAAGACAAAGAAAATAATAAATTTGATGTAATGCACTTTCCATGTTAATATAAATTGCAAGAGACGAATGAAAAAAGAGTTTGTATATACATATATACATACATATATATAAGAAATAAATAATAACAAAAAAAATTGTAAGATTAGAATCGTAATAAAATTGGAATCGTGTGCGATTCTACACGATTTTATATAATCACTTTAAGATCCTATAAAATTTAAAATCCTAGTGTGATCCGGATGATTTGGCCCAACTAAGATCATAGGATCATAAGATCTTACAATCTGGATCAGGATTCTAATAACCATATTTATTTCTGCCTCATAAGTTATAAACTGAAGTTGTGAGTTAGGAGTAAAGCATCCTGATGCATCATGTTGGGTGTGGAGAAGCATTGGAAACCTCATCAAACACTCCAATATAAATTCTCAAAAAAAAAAAATTATAAGCGGCTCAATAAATTGCATCAAACATGTCACTATGATTTTCATTTCAACATATGTGAAGCTCATGCATAGAGCCAACCATGTTCTTAGCAAGTGCACAATACTCCTGTTTATTGAAAGTTTGGAAAAAATAACAAGTAAACAGTGATGTGTCATTACCGCATAGATGAAAACCTGAGTGGTAGTTGTTGTGTTAATGACCATTGTGAAAATTATTTTATACATCAATTTAGACCAAGTGTGAATACAACATGCAATCTTACTTTTTGTGTTCTAACATAATCATGCAATAATAAAATAGTAATTTGTGTAAGAAAATTCTCACATGCATGGCAATAATATATGAGGGAAATGAGATGAATAGTCAAAAGAGTTAGGCAAAAAATAAAGGCCTTGGGACAACCACAAATTGGTCATGTATTAATGTAAAATGATCACTTACAGTACCAAAACAATCAGAATGTAGAATCCTCTTCTTTTTGGTCCCACCTACAACACTGTTTTTTGAATTTTCCAACACTTGCTCATTCACACATGAGTAATGTACAATATCTTTTCTTTATTTTTTTTAAATTTAAATTACAAATTTTCTTTATTGTATGATACATTAATTAATAAAAAAAAAAATTGCAAGATTTGTTAATGTGTACTCCTTCGCACATACAATGGAAAAAGACATTTAAACTTATAAACAGGGGAATAGGTCATCTTCATACCATTACCCTTCATACCCCTTTATATCTTATTTTGTATGCCTCAATCTAGACTCATAATGTAAATCTTGTAATAAAAATCATTTGTGTAAAAAATTATTTTTATCGAATATCAATGAATAGATGAACAAATAGAATTTTTTTATTATAAAATAGACGTTTAAATTTAAATTCATAATTGTCTGTCTATTTAAAAATCAAAATGTAATTTGTTCATTTGTCTAGTCATATCTGATGAACTTATCTTTATTGTTAGGCTTATAAAATGAACGTTTCAAATTATCGTCGTGAGTTGTAAGAGTTTTTACATTTGATTCCTTTTTCTTTCTTTTTTTCTTTTTGTTTTTTTTTATCAATAAAAAACTTTTTTTTGATGAATCAAAACCATACAAATATAGCAACAATACATCAACAAAAAAAAAGGGGGAGGGGGGGATGCCAAGAGCTTTATAGCAGAATATAACCATCTCAATTAGGTTGACACCAAAATAAATGTACAATCATATGGTAGCACCCAAGTTTGGTGAGAAACCAAACAAAAACATATAGCAAGGGAACAAAAGGAACAGAAACTGAAAAAACAACACACAGATAGAATGCTCCACCCAAACTTCTTGATCACTAGCTTTTTACTAAAACTTTTAACACAACCTACACAAGCATCTCCGTCTTTTCAATTCTAGAAACTTAATTTCATCACAATTATTGAATTCTATCTTATTTGAAATTAAGTGAGTTGTCTCGGTGGATAAAGGACTTGTTTGGTATAGGTTATTATAAGTTGAAAATTTATAATCAAAAAATTGAAATAAAAAATATATCTCTCCCAACTTTTAAACAATGGACTTTTTTCAACTTATTTAAGTTAATTTTGCCTATAAATTATAAGTAGAAATTGCACTAAATAATTTGGTTCAAACTCCTAAATTAATATAAGTTATAAACAACTCATTTAAGTTGCACTGTAATTTTTTTTAATTTATTAAAAAACACATGACATTTTTTACCAATTTTTTTTTAAACCAATATATACAAAGATAGGAAACGCACATTAATAAATATATATATAACTCATTATTTCGTGTTTAATTTGAATTATTTTAAGAATGGTATAAAGAATAATATCAAAAAGATGATAGTACTAAAACTATACATGTGCAAGAAATTTGATCTATACCTTACACAAACAATACATTGAATAAGGTCATTTTCCATTAGACTTTACATAGAAAAGTCTCAATCTCAAAACATATTTTTGGAGAGGGTTTGGCTTCTCTCCAATCTGATCGAACTAAAGAGTCTTGTTGGGCTTGTGAGGGCCCACCACGGATCCCATTTTGATAATCTAAATCGTTCAATGTTTAGAACTCGTCAAGTACTATATACTTATAAAAAATCACGTTGATCGGATATTGATACCTACATAATCAAATCAATTTTGTATATAAAAAAATAGACGGTGAAAAAATAAACGGTTGACAGAAATCTGATCCGATGAAATAGCTATCGATATCCGATCAACGTGATTTTTTACAAGCATATAGTACTCGACGAGTTTTACACATTGAATGATTGGAATTATCGAAATGAGACCCATGGTGGACCCTTACGGGCCCAACAGCACCCTCCAGTCCGATCACAGACTGGAGGGAAGCCAATCCCTTTTGGAGAACAAGGATTCCCATGTTGGGTTGAAGTCTTTGAAAATGAAAGTATAATTCCCCTCAATTCCATTATTCTAATGTTATACAAGTAATATTTTTATAATACAAGTGTCATATCATTCTTAACCAAAAAAAAAGTTTAATAAAAAAATTGTTTGTATCATTTTGCATCATTATCAACTTGAGATTTTGGCCTGTTTGGTTTCACCGATTGAAGAAGAGGCATATCAAAATATGGTGCGGAAAAACCTAAATCGATATGAATGGAGGATGCCTTTGGAACTTGTTTTTCTCAGTCAGTATAAGGCATTTTGTTTACCACTTTCTGTCTCTGGTAGGCCTAGGAGCTAATCCAAAATCACCTACTCAATTGACAGGCATAGCTTTTATAGCTGCTTTATCTGCCTGAAGTCGTGTAAACCATAAATGAATTGACAAATATAAAGCAAGACTTACTCCCTCCAATTATAAATTGGTTTTTATAATTATACATTATTATATTATTAACTTAAAAAACTTAAAACAAGTTGTAAATATATTTGGTGTAGCTTTTAATAACCTATCAAGAAAAAATTGAACATGTTTGATTAAATAAATTATCACATAACTTTTTTGTTGTATAAATATCCAAAAATCCCTCAAAAGTTATAATTGTTACAAAAGAAATGGGATTTTTATGTCTATATATTCGTGCTTTGGTTTTTTGGGATGGTGTTGCTCTCTGTTTGATTTTGCTGTTTCTATTATTGTCTCTGTTGTTGCTGTCTTGTTGGTAGCTCACCAACTTCTGACGATTAGTGCTTGCAAATGATAGGGTTTGTTTCTCAATGCCAACCTAATTGAGATGGGGTTGTTTTACTGGAATGCTTATGCACTTTCCTCCCCCCCCCCTCCCCCTCCTCTTTTTTTTGTATATCTCATTACTTTCTCATTACTTTGTAATTATGTTTGCATCAATAAAGTCTCTCTTTTAGCTAATCAAAAAACAAAAAAAAAAAAAAATAGTTCCAAATAACTTGAAAATAAGCTAAAAATTCAAATAAGTTTAAATTGCAACAAAACACCTGTTACATTTTTTAAGGAAAATAAGCTATATAAGTTAACTTATAAGTGCTACCAAATGTGATCTATTTTAGCCACTCTAAAAATAATTAGAAAAGCCAAAAAAAAAACTATATATGGGCTAAACTAATTAACTTTTTTAACATTAACTCTTTTTTTTTGTAAGTTGTTTTTGGTCAATACACTAACTTTTCAGCTAATTTCCAAAAAAGTCTAATTATATCCCCTCAGACACATATGGTTAATTGGGGCAGGGATCCTCTATCCTAAAAACTCTATCATGTTGAAATTTTGAAGTATGAAAATTTCGAGTAATCATCAAACAACAATTAATAATTAGGGTAAGAGGACGTTCTATAAAAAATAAAAAATTAGGGTAAGAGGATAGAGAATTTGGAAAAGAGAATTTTTTAGATAGGCTTCTCAGCCTAATTTACTCTCATCTGTCACTTTATTCCAAGTTTCTTCTCTATCACAAGATTACAGTCAAAAAGAAAAATCGTATAATAAAAAACTTATTTAAAACAAAAAGATAAAATAAAATAAAACAGAATATTCTCAATCGTTCCAAACGCTTTTAACTTGTCCAACATAAGTCGCACCTTGGCTACACCTACACCCACCACCACACCCAAACATGATAATAAAACCCCCAAAAACAAATACTACTACAAATTATATATTTATCGTATGCATTGTATTCCACAGCTACCTTTATATATACCCCAAGTCTCCCCACCCCACAAGCCCATCACCAAACCAGCATACACTACTACTACTACTACTTCTTCTTCTTCTTCTTCCTCTCTCAATCTCTCACTCTCTCTTTCCCCCTCAAAAATGTCAGGTGTTTGGGTGTTCAAGAACGGCGTGGTCCGACTAGACCAGGGCTCAAGTGGAGGGCGTCGAAAGGTGCTAGTCCACACCCCAACTGATGAAGTCATAACCTCCTATGAAGTCCTTGAGGAGAAGCTGACTTCACTGGGTTGGGAGAGGTACTACGACGACCCGGACCTCCTTCAGTTCCACAAGAGGTCCACACCTCACCTCATCTCTCTCCCTCTTGACTTCAACAGGTTCAGATCCATGCACATGTACGATATCGTTGTCAAGAATCGCAACATTTTTGAAGTCAGGGACTCCTAGTCACCTGGACTGGATTGTCCAATCAACTGGAGAGAAGCCAGATTTTAATTACGCGTGTTCGTGTGTTAAAATTTTATTTTATGTTGTTTTTTGAATTTCAGTTGTGTTTGAGGGGTGTTTAGTGACATATATAGTTGGTTTGAATTTTTTTTAATTTTTATGGTGTCTTTGTAATGTAATTTATTAGGTTTAGTTTTGTGTGCTTAGGAAGTTGATGGAGTTTGAAGCACTTGTTTGTTGTCAATGTTGTGTAAATTATATATAGTGATTCTGTAATGAAATTTGGGTTGCTTTGTGTGTTCTAATTTCACCTTTATGTTAGCACAAACGAATACAATTATCGAAAATTTTGATCACCAAAATCATTTGTTTGTAATTATAAATGTGAACAAAATGTGAAACATCATATATTATTTTTATTCATCTTTTTTTTCTAGTACAAATGTGGTATGGTGATTTTATTATTGTACATTTTGAATGATTGAGGATGTGATTTGAGAGAATATTGAAAAGAAAAAAGAAAAAAAATTGGTATCCAAAACACAAATAATATACTTATATATAAAATGATGTGACTATATTAACAACTTATCATTTTGAAATAGAATTTTAGTTAAAATAAAATTTAATTACAGAAATTTCACCCCCAAAATTGATTTATATTTTTTTTTAGTAATAGCAGTATGAGTAATGTTATAATTATCAATTTTTTATCATATTATGTTTATTATTTTATGCATTAATATTACATTAAAAATAAATATAAGTGATGATATTTATACATTTATATTGCGTCATATTATATTAAATATGGTATTAATAAAAAAAATTCTTACTGTAATTTAACTCCAAATACACTCTTCTTTGTTCTTATCATACATAATTACTATTCTCATTCTATTTTACTCCATATACACTTCATGTTATATATAATAAAAATAAAAATAATTAATATATTTAAAATAAAGTGGAGTGAGAATAACTACTCCCCATAAAAAATTGATATCTTTTAGCTATAAAGTGACCTAAAAATGGTGTGGTGTGACGGAAAAACAAAGGGATTCATGTGAGAGGTTAGCCAACCATTAGCTTTGCTTGCTAACAACGTAGAGATGTCACGTGTTTATCTCCTACTGGACCTTATCTATCTAATATTTAGAGAGAGGGAAGTATGTATACATATGATCACAAATAGGAATCAAGCTCGAAATATGTTACGAATTATAAAAATTTGTTTCGAATTTTACTTTTAAAGAAGTTGTAAATATATAGATTTAAAGTTAGTAAAATATAAATTAAATCTAGAATGATTGTAATTTATAGATGTGTTTTTCTGGATAATTTTTTTAAATTTGTAGTATTGTTGATCAAGATCACCTAATACATTTTCAGCATGTTTGTTTGGTGGGATTGAAGGCTGGGATTAGACTAATAGTCTATCTGGACTAATAGTCCGTATTGTTTGTTTTAAATTTTTTGTACCAAACAATTAATTCCAAATCTGTTAGACTATTGTTTCCCTTGGGGGATGGGACACAAATCATGAGATAACTGATCCCATGAGATTAGCTTGTCAAATTACATTGTTAACCCTCTACTATTAAATATATTTTTCCTCATGGTATTAATTATACTTAATAAAGTAGTCTCAATTTAAAAATAAAATAATTTTATTTCATTTTTATTGATGTTTTATTTATTTAATTTTTTTTAAATAATTTTTTATAGATATTTTTTTGATGTTTTATTTTAAAGTTTTGTTGATATTTTATTTAATTTCATTATTTAAATTTTAATAGATGTTTTATTTAATTTCATTATTTAATTATTATTGTTTTTTAAAATAAAATTATTAAAAATTTTAATTAAAAAAATAGAATATATTTTGATTGATATTTAATTTTTTTAAAAAAATTTATTTAATTGTGTAAAAAATAAAATAAAATAAATTTTTATTTAATCTAACTAAAAATAATTAAAATATTAAAGACACGTTTAATATTGCTATTATTTAGTAAATAATTGAAAAGGGTAAAAATGTTATTTGAGCATTTATCATTCTCCATAATATCCCAAACAAACATTGGATTCATATTCTATCCAACTAAATAGTCATTTCCTAACATGTAATCATATGACTAAACAAACGTAAGATACATATCTTATCCAAGCAAATAGTCCCAAGACTATGAATCCCAAGATTACAATCCGATAGATTCCAATTCTCTATATTCAGTCCGTCCAAATAAACATGTTGTTTATACTTTTTTTTGGTCTCCTTATATTTTATTAATTCACGAGGTTGGGGACAAGTGATCAGAATTCCACAAATAAAAAGATTGTGAAATGAATAATTGAATTCAAGTTTTGATGATGTGTTGTAATCTCATGCATTGAAATGGAAAATGAAAATCTCCATTTGAAGCTCTATAATCCTTCAAAAATGAAAGTGAAGGAGTTAAATATCTATACGACTAGAGGTGGCGCGATGGATGTGTAAATGATAAAAGAGGATCTATAATTCAAAGATTTGAAAAAAAAATAATAATAATTCATAATTGGCCATGTAACTGGTATTTTTTTCAATCGGCAAAACAAAGAAACTTCATTGATGTAAAGCACAGTACAAAGTACAAAACAAATTATATCAATAAAGAAAGGCAAGTACAAAAGTATCATAATAAGCTAGATCATCCCAATTATGTTGGCACCAAAAAACCCATCCTATCATTTGTTAGCACTCCCAGTGTTGGTGAGCAACCAACCAAGGAAATAGAAAAAACAGAACAACCACCAACTACCACCTACAGCCAACCAGCATGAGCAACAGAGCCTAATTGCAGAGCACCAAACCAAAGCACCAGCACCAACACCAGCATCTATATATTCACAGAGACAGACTCATTAATGCCTTAATGCAGACTCATCCACCAAAACAGACTCAACATCAAAATAAATACCAGAAACAGATAACACTACAAAACATTAGTGCAACAGTGTAGATTCCCCAAATCAGACTTAACACCCATTGCATCAATTCAGATACCAAAATCAGATTCATCTCCCAAACCAAACTCAACACCCATTGCATCAATTCAGATACCAGAATCAGATCAACCATCAATTCATATATTCACTACAGCCAAGGTTCTGAAAAGCGGTTACGGTCGCTGTAACGGTGGTGGTGATGCGGTTGCGGTTGCGGTGTGTAAAGGCCGTAGTGAAACGGTTGCGGTAACCGAAACCGTGAATTTTTTTATTTTTCGCACAATTTGAAAAAAACTTACCGATACGCATATTTTTTTTCCATGATCATATTTATTGAGTTAAAAATAAATATTAATCAGTTTTTGTAAATTTTTAAGTATGATTCAATAAATTTTATATTTTTAAATCACTATAAACTGAGTTTTTTACATTTTATTTTAATAATTAATGACTTTACATTATACAAAAAATTAATCACTAACTATTATATATAAGATAAACAATAACAAAAATAAGAGAATAAATAAGAGCCTAAATATGTATATATATACACATATTTTAACCAAGCCAAATAGATAATGACCACTCTTATTATTATTATTTTCAAACAATATATCTAGATAGACACATACAAATAAAATGGTTTAGTGATAGCAGTTGAATCGAAAAGCATAGGTCATACAGCTTCAACAAATCAATAACATGTTCTTCATCTTCCCTCCTCTCTCTCTATCTCTTGATCCTCCATTTTCTCTTTTTATCTTCTGTCTTCTCTCATTTTCAGCTTTTTTTTGTGTGTTTTTTCGAAAGAAACAATTTGGAACCGTTACGTAACGGTGCGTAACAGGCCGTTACAACTGTTATGGCGCCGTTATAACCACTACGGCAGCAGCTACGGCCGACACACCTGTGAATCTCAATCACACTGCAAAAGCGGCCGTAACGGGTGGCGGTAACCGCCAAAACCGTTACGTAACGGCGTTACGTAACGGTTGCGGCCGCTTTTTAAAACCTTGACTACAGCACATCAGCCACCAAAATATAAACTAGAACATCAATGCATCATAGTGCATCAATGCATCACAGTGTAGATCAACAATACCAAGATCCGACAAAAACAAGACCAATATTCCACATTCATAATCAAAAAATCAACAAGGCCTTAGTCCATTTGTAAGCCATATAAGCACAGAAACAGAATAGATAAAACAGACTGAAACTGTACCTGTAAAGTAGACTAGATCATACCTCAGAAACCAAGCCATACACAGGCTCAATCACCATTACTGCTGTAGAACCAGACCTTACACTCAGCCACTAGGCCTGAGACAAAACTTAACTTGCTGCATATTATAAACCGAATCATTCACAAAAGTTGCCACAGGTAATGGCGAAGCCTTTACCTACAAAGCTATTCTCACTTTTACAATGTCACATAGAGCTTCAAAGTCTAGTTAAGACCCATTGAAAACACATTCGTTTCTATGCCTCTATGCAGACCAAAGAGTTGCCAAAGGGATGGCCATCCATATATTCTTCTCCAATTTTGACATATTGCAGCCATACCACCACTGCAATAGTCTATCTACCGAACCTGGCAATACCCACTGGAAGCCTCACCATCTTACAATGTTTGACCACAGCCTCCAAACAAAAGGACAGAAGAGAATAATATGCTCCACAGTTTCAATATCCTCATAATAGAAAACACATTCCAGATTAACACTCCCATCAAGTATACCAATTTGATAAAGAAAGCAAGAAGTTTTCACCTTACCAAGCCATGCCAACCACCCAAAAAATTGCACTTTGTGAGGAGCAAAATTATTCTAAATAGAGTCTGCCATTGATTGAACAGGCCCAAGAAGGGATTCACTCCATTTATAAGCTGATGCTACACTGAACAGTCCAGATGAATCTATTACCCACTTCAATTCATCAGATTTATCAATGCAAAGAGCTGGTGCACACCTAAGCAAACAGGCAAATCTATGGACCTCTTCCTCCTCCCAAACAAACAGGTTTTTTCTAAACTGAAGGATCCAAACAGCATCTGCACTCCTGTTCTCAAAAAACACCCTTACCACCCCATGCTTATCACTAGATAGAGAGAAGAGTCTAGGAAATTCTTCAAACATTTCCAATCCACTTATCCAACCAAAATTGAGCTCTACTCTCATCCCCCAAAACTATTTGAGAATTATGGAGATAAAAATTATGCAAGTCAGGATTCAACAAAATTGCATTAAAAATATCCTTCCAGATTTTAGATCCTCTACCTTCCAAAGTTGGAAACCATTTCCCATTCTGAACATTATACTTAGAGCAGATCACTTCTTTCCAAAAAGTGTGATTCTCAGCACCAAACCTCCACCACCATTTTAGCAACAGGCATTCATTAAAAGTTCTAATCCTCCTCAAGCCCAAACCACCTAGATTATTATTCTTGGCAATCACCTCTCAACGGACCAAATGCACTTTTCTTCTGAGGTTGGATCCACCCCACAAAAAAGCATATTGCATTTTCTCAATCTCCTTAGCCACCCCTATCGAAATTTTGAACAATGATAAATAGTACACAAGCAGATTGAACATCACAGACTTGATTAAGGTTAATCGCCCAGCAAAAGAAAGTAGCCTTCTCTTCCAGTTAGCTAATTTCTACTTAAATTTTACAAGAACCAGTTTCCAAGTACTTCTCCTACCTGGGTTGACCCCCAATGGCAGTCCCAATGGCAGTCCCAAATACATCATACTCTTAGAGGCCAACTCTTGCAATAGTCCATCACCAATCCCAATACCACAAATCACACTCTTATGATAATTTATTTTCAGCCCGATGCAAAATTTCCTATGTAAGATTACCCATGTATCTGCTATTGAGATATTTTAAAAAAATCAAAAAATTAAAACCTACTGCAGATAGAAGATACAACATAGAAGATAGCACAATAGATAGAAGATAGAAGATAGCACACAATTCACTTGATATGAACATTTTGACACATAATTTTGATTCTAAAAAAATTCACAATAATACTATATTTTCTCCAAATATTTATCTTGCCTAACAATTACTATAAAGATAAAAATGTAAAATTACTAAACCAATAACTACTATCCACTATACAGACTCTATCTCCACTCTTACCCATGATTTTCTGCATAGTGTGCACACAGTTCTAATTACTATATCAAGTAGGCTAAGAATTCTCTATCCACAAATCTTTTTACCTGTGTTTTAATTCATTTCCAATTATTAAATCGTATAAAATTTTGAGATAGATAAATTTCAAAATATAATTTAATAACTAAAATGCATTGAAAGAGAAAGAAAAAAAAACAAAAATTAAGAAGAAAAGATCTTGCTTTGGCTTTGTCTTTTGCTATGTTAATTGTGGTTGTTTGTTTCTTCATTTGCTTTCTTGTATGTCATAATTTATGTGGTTAATTACACTAAGATTCCCTTAAATATTAACAAATATCACTTATCATTTTTATTTGTAAATTCGTGTATTTTGACACTTTCAATTATAAAAATATCACTTTCACCTCCTTCAAACCCTTTCTAAACCACCTCTAAAAGAGATATATTTATATAATTCTCGTAATTAAAGAAAAAAAAGTGATATTCACTAACAGCTAAATGGATCTTCGCATAAATAACCCTAACTTACTTCATTTGTACCAGTCAACTTCACATTTGTTTTGAGACTTTAAGGTCATATATTAGCAAGGAAAAAGTATATGGAGCAAAAAAATAATTCAAAATTTTAAATTAATAATATAGATTTAATCTGAAGAAAATAACAAATCAGTAGTACTTTTAAAAAATAATTACAAATTCATCATAAACTAATGATTAAAGTCATAAATTTTTCATAAATCTATAATTATTTTTTTAAAAAATACCACTGATTTGTAACTTCCTTTTTAATCTTCTTATGGTCAGTTTCTCTCTCCTGCATGTAAATATTATGCTGAGGTTGTGGAGAACAGCAACAATGCATGCATGGAAAGCTCCAAACAACATGTGCTTGTGCTGCAAAGGTTGTTGAGATATATATTCTTATAAACACATGTCTAATAATGCTAGCCATAGTTAAAACCACCCTATCAAAAATAATAATTAAAACAATTTTTATATAAAAAAAAAAAAATTGTCTCGACAGTTCGATAAATAAGGTATTCGTCTATGCCTTCTTCACAAAAAAGGCACATTTTTTTTTATGGTATACCAGGTATATATCACATAAACATGAAAATAATGGTGAAAAAAAAAGGGATTGTGGGGATATTACTGAGTTGGCAGTGTGGTCGGAAAATTTCCCACACAGGGAGTAATGTTTTTGTGTGTGTAGTGTTGCATTAGAAATAGTCAATTGTACTTCTTAATGATATATGTAAATAAAATTTTGCATTTTTAAAAGGTTAAAAGTAAATTTCAAGTAACCAAACTGCAAAAAATATATATATAAACAACAATGATTCATCCCCCTTTTCCCCACACCCCCTTTGACCCTCTCTCTCTCTCATTGGTTACCTTTTCTTGTTCTTTTTCTTTTTTTTCCTGCTCCTCCAATCACCACCCGCCACGTGGCAAAGGGGGGGTGAGGGGGTAACCCCAAAAGGGAGTCCCAAGCATTATTCATATATAAATGCCTCGTTTAAATTTCTTATATTCTCAAATAGTTTTGAGCCGCCTCCAAAAAATAAATCTAGATATTTCTGTTATGTTTAAATCTATCCAAGTCTGCACACGCCATACTTGAATGGGCCAATATCACCTGTTCATATATATATGAATTCTATCATATAAAGTATACATTTTTGATAACTTTTAATTACACCACATTAATACCTCTTTCCACTTACATGTACAAAGTTTATTCATAAGTACAAGTATTACAATGCATAAATTCGTAAGTACAAACTTGATCCGTGTAAATAGAAGCTCCCTACCTTTCTGGGTGTAAATTGTCATACTTTTTTTCATTCCTAAATTGCCCATGTGCAACTATTTATATTTAGCTACTTCAAATTTTTATTTCGAATATCATGATAACTCTTCATTTTTTTTTTCTCCATCGAAATTGTTGATTTTCATAGCATATCCATTTGATATGGGAACCATCTAATATATATATAAATCCTATAAATGTGAGACCTCAAGCATATATTTGTTTAAATGTCTGACTTGTGATTTGAGACTTAAATTTTAAGTGGAAATCTAGAAATACCACAAATTTTGATCCTGACCAACTAAAAGCGGCCATCTTTACAAATAAAACTCAAGATCTCAATTATTGCATATTTGAGAAAATGGGTCCGGACAAATATGACATCTTTGAGTTTTCATTTGCTAAGGTGACCGCTTGTAATTGATCAAAACCAAAATATGACATGGTGTTCCGAGCAAATAATTACACCTCCAAATGATTCTTTTCAACCTGCGCCTACCTTAATTTCATGGGACAGAGACTTCTTCTCTAACCGAAAGGTTGATGAGTTATGATGAAAAGATGATTAAAAAGCTTCAATGTGTTTGGCAATCCATGACTTTTTGATTGCTTCTTAATTAATTAATTAATTAAGTGAGATAAACTAATCGCATTGGTAATGCACTCTACTTTAGGAAAGTCAACATTCTAACTTTCTAATGTGTAAAGGCAATAAAAAGAAGCTAAAAGTGTAACTTGAAAAGAAAACGCATAAGAGTTCATGTGTTGTTTAATAGTGATTGAAATGCCTCATCATGAGCAATATAATACATTTTCCGAATACAGAAATTTCTCAAAAGTAGAACACAATTAGCAATGTTGATAGCCCTAAATGCTTTCGTAGCATCCACACAACCAGTAGAGTATATATCACCTGTCTTACTCCATGTCTCATCTTCTATCTTATATTCATCTCGTATTATCAAATTGTCAAAATCATAGGTTAAAAATATGTAACAGTGGATGATATAGGGAGTAGGATAGATAATTCCGTACTCGATCAAAATTGTCATGAAAAGAATAACAATAAAAAAAAAATACAAACACTTGAATGAAATTTCTCCATTAAATCCTTCATGTTTTGTAATAGTTGAACAAATGCTTCACAAAATAGGATCATCTCATCTGGTTAGATGGAATGGATAAAAGAATAAAAGAGGGAAGCGGGAGTAGGACCGTAAAGGAGTGATGTGACGTCTAGGCGAGTAATAAGTTATTTAAACTTGACTTGCTTACTTTTTGTGTGGATTTCAAAGGAGCTTTAATAGATCCAAATAATCTTTAATAAATATGAGTTCAACTAACTTGATTTTATAGAACATAGAAACTTATCGAGTCGAACTTAGAAAATTAACAAACTTGAAAATGTGTTGATATTTGATTTATTTACGTAACAAACTAATCATAATCGAGTTTTTAACAAATTGAATTTAAGCAATTTGATTGGTTTTAAAACTCTAAGAGGGAGGGGGAAACATTTTCCCACCATGTTACATTTGCTAATCCATGGGCAACAGGGGAGCTTCAAAAGAAGCTATCCCATTAGACTCCTCGTATAGCTTGAAAATATTGTTTTTTACTTTTGGGTTAAAATAATTTTTAAAAATTCAAAAATTTCAAAAATGATTTCAAAAATAGTTTTGGGTACAAAATTCGCAGAATTTACCATAATATGCTCCACATAAAAAAGAAAGACGACTAATGAAGTAAACACTGCAACAAAATCTTATTCCATTATTTTTTCACAAATTTACAGAAGAAAAAGAATTAAAGAACACAAACAATGTGCATGTTATGTTAAAAACAAAATAAAATAAAAAATTAAAACAATTTATATTATAGCACAATCAATTACAAATCCTAAATGCCTCCTCCACCCCCACCACTTCTATATGAAAAATAAATAAATAAATAAACTTGGAAGCATATAACTCGTCTCTCCAACGTGACTTTCTAGCAAGGTACAAGAATTCTGGCCACTGAATTAAATCCGAGTTGCTAAATTTCGACATAATAAGACCAAAAACAACTCTGCTCAACTCAAAACTCCGAAATGAGTCTCCTTTAGGTGCATTTGAAACCATGGCAAATAGAAAGCCAGATTATCAGGGCCAGCACTAATAAGATTACGAGCACAATCAACTTTGTTTTCATATTTTGATACCACATTTTTCGCTTGATCTGGTCCGAGACTTTCTTGAATCCTTCAGCCTGAAAAATACCAAAGAATAGCTCTGTTCACCGTATGTTCCAAAAAAAAAAAAAAAAACAGAATTATTATTCTTTCAAAGTATATACGATCAAAGTACCGAATCACGCAGATCGTGAGCCTTGTCAGATAGATCGTTTAGGTTCTCCCCTCTTTCAATAACCTGAAAATTGTATATTAGCATTAAAAAAAAAACAAGATGAAACTTGTATTGTTCGAAAAGAAGCACAATTTATTGAAACGCTTACTTACCAAAAAAGAAAGAAATAAAAAAGAATGACACACTTCAGGCAAAAGGGCAGATCAATATGTACAGATAATTAAGTGCTAGAATGAAATTGTAAGCCTTAATGCCACTGAATGAATGACTAATGTCGCCTTTACACGCATTCTTTCTTAATATGTGTAAGAAACAATTTAGTTTGGTGTGGTAAAACAACCTATATGCTCACAAGTCACGCGTCACAATAAACCTTTCAGTCTTAAAAAGGTAATTTCGTTGTAGCACATAATTAAGTTGCATTTCAAATCGGGGACAAAAAAATCAACTCTACAACCCTTATCGTGCCCTGACATTTCTAAGAATTCAAATCAAAACGGTGAGAATTTTTTATTAATGAATTTGGACTTAGGACAAACCAATCAACCGAGTAAAAAAGATTCTAGGACAGAATTTAACAGAAAAAAAAATGACCAACATAACGCAAGAGAGGTGAGTAAAGGCGTACAGAGGCAGTGAAGGCATCTCTTGTTACCAATGCTTCAATATTTACAACTTTATATATATATATATATATTAGTTTTTAAAAAAATGTAAGAAGGATATTTAACCACACAGTGGGGTGTCTCATTCAATAAATAAACAATTAAAACAAAAATATATGTAAGAAAAGAAAAGAGAAATAGAAAATATTGGTTGAAAGGATGTCGATGTACAAGATAGCCTGTCTGTCAACATTAATTCTATTAGAAATTTAAATAACACACTACATTTAAAAAAACAACAAAATATAAATAAATTACTTAACCCTTTTTGTTTTCCTTCTCAAAGAAACCTGACATACCTTGGTAATATTTTCCTGCATAATGTTTTTAAGTTGTGAAACTTGGTCTTGCACTTTGAACTGTTTGTTAATCTCTTCAGCATGGTCAATTATGTACTGCATGTGCTCTTTCATAAGTGGCCTGTACATTTGAAAGAATTGTCTCAATTCAAATTTTTTTTTTTATAGTGCAATCATACTAAAGGCATAGGAATATCACGGTGCCATTTGATAAAATTACAATTTATTGCTTTTTATATTTACAGAAAACATTAAACATGTTTATATTTATTTTTGGTAAAAACATGTTTAGTACACACTTGTTTTTAAAACTTGTTTTGAAAAAAAGTGAGAGAGGATGGGTTGTTGGTGGGAGGCGGTGGCCAAAAGTAGTTGTTGAAGGTTGGAGATGATGGCCAAAGGTGTTTTTCAGCACCAGAGGTGATGGTTGGAGGTGGTTGCTAGCAAAAGATGGTTGTAGTCAGCTAGAGGTGATTGATGGCGGCAGGAGATGGTTGTCGGCTGCAAAAGGTGGTGACTAGAGATAGGGTAGCCAGAGAGAGTCGCCGGAAGAGGTCAACGGTGATAGTGGCTGGAGATGGGGGTAGCCAATAGTGGTGGTGATAGGTAGTGGGTGGTGGCCGAAGGGGGTGGGAGAGGGAGGAAGGAATGAAAAACTTTCAAAACAAGTGGGGAAAAAAAAAATTGTTACAAAATTTATTGTTTACAATATTTTAGAAACGAAAATAGACACTAAGCCTCCGTTTGGGAAGTGGGTTAGCTTTTTAGCTTTTTAACTTTTTTGACTATTTTAGCTTGAGCTAAAAAGCTTGATTTGGGAAGGATTTTTTGGTTTTTTGATTTTTTTGGCTTTTTTTGTGAGAGGAGAGTGTAATGATTATGGGTTAGATGTGATGTTTTGTTTGTTGTGGCTCAAGTAGCCTATTTTGCCTTTTGTGGCTATTTTAGCCATAAACCAACTTGCCAAACAACACCTAAATGAGGCTTTTTTTAAAAAAATTATAAATATAAACAGAAAATAATAAACATAAATGTTACCAAACCGACAACAACTTATGATCCTTGGCAACTTGTTTAAACATACCCAAACTCCTTGTTCAAACTTTTGGCATCAGCTGTATCTGCTTTACCACCACCATATCTTTTCTTGAAATCTGCCTTCAACCGTTCCAAAAATGCGACTGAAATCTGATTCCCAACAGATTCTTTGGCGACAATGCAATAAGCTGCAAAATTCCAACAAACAACCTTGTATAGTGAGTTGAACCAAAACACTTCAAAACTCTACTACTAAGGCCACCTATATTATGTTTAGTTCATTGGAATGAGCTTGAATCTTATGTTTAATTCACTAAAAAAAATTATAAAAATGAACATTTCATTCCAGTAAACGAAACATAGCATTGGATTTACAAATGAGAACTCTATTATTGTTTCTCAATTGACCATCAAAAGAATAAAAATCAAAACTCACACATTGTTGATCACATACTACAATTTTTCATATGTTTGGAAGTTGAAAATGATGCATGATATATAGCCTCATTTGGAATGCAATTAAAAATGTCTTTCTCAATATATACAACCAAGCTATCTTTCATCCATTGGTCACCCACCATTCAGTTGAAAAGTACACCTTAAGGTTTATTTAAAATACAAATTATCTTCTGTGATTTTGATAATTACATCTCGTCCTATCAAATTTCTAATTGCATAACAAATGACTCCTTTTACTAATAAATCATTAAGCTAATTAATAGTTTTTACTGCAATTACATATAGTTAAAACTAGGTTTTGTTATTCACCCAAAAAAAAAAACTAGGTTTTGCAACAAAATGGAGGATGATCCATAAATATATTTCAATTAACAATTCTAATAATTTTACTATTGTATAGGAGAATAATTATTTTTTAAAAAAAAATTTGTTAAATAAAAAATTCTAAAACAGGATATTTGTAATTTTCAAAATCACATGAAACAATTTATATTTTAAGTAAATCTCAAAACATGTATACGTAGCTCACCCTTTGTCCTAAATATATCATGTCCTAACCAAACATAACAAAAATAGAAATCCATCTCATAGCCTAAATATAATGTTCATGTTGAGTCACTTATACCCAATAATGTTGTGATTGGTGGAGAATGTGGGACCATGAATTCATATTGGATTATAGAAGATCACAAGGACATGGTGAATTATGATTGGCGTAGAGTATAGGCACATGGCACATGGCGCCCAAACTAATCAATAATTTTCCGTAGGTGTTTGTTTAAGCAGATTAGACTAGCATTCCTAGGACGGTCAATCTTGGAATTATTAATTCTTTTGATTGTATACCTTATCTAGGGTGTGGATTGACTTAGTATTAGAAGAAGAACTAATAAAATCTTATCACTTTTATAATTTAATTAATTTATTTAATTCTCCCATTAGATATCATGTCCGGATAAATTATTGATCCGAATTTTAAATTTTTTAATCAAACATTATATTATTTACTTTGTTAAATTATTATTCCAAAATTTCACGTCCACCCAAACAAATTCAACAACCTTATATCTAACAGGGACAGTCAAATATGGCTCCCATATTATTGTAATTTGTTTGTTTCCCAAGAAAATGAAGAGAAAATTGGGAATTACCGTAACCGTCCTCGGCGAGGAAATCGAAGTTGTGGCGTTCGTAGTTGTAGGTGAACTTTTTGTTGGAAGCCGGAAGTCTATCCAGACACCGAGTCGCGATTGCCGGAAAGTTCCCAGTCAACTCGGTGTACTCGGCCAGGACCACTGTTCCGCGAGCCACGAAGCTGTATACGAACGATTCCTGACCCATCTTCTGTAACTCACCCCTAGTCCGAGTTCCGAGTTTTAGAGAGAGAAATGAAAAACAACAACGATCGAAGAGAGAGAGAGAGAGAGAGAGAAGTATTTCGTGTGTTGGTCTAGACATTAGCATTTTTATAAGGCTCTGTTTGGAGGGTTTTATTACTTTGCCGCGAAGGAATGAACGTTTCAAGGCAAGACAAAGGCGTTGAAACGGCGACGTGTTCCTTGTACGCGCCAAATTCGGACTTGGTAAAATATACTTCTCGAATGTTTTGACCCTTGTTATTATATATGAGATATTATGTATGATTTAGATTAAAAAATATACAAGTCTTTTATCCTTTTACAATTTTTTATTTAATAATGAACTAATTCAATTTTCACAAAGAACAACTATCGTTCTATAGAACTCTTTTATCATTTTTCATTTTTTTATTTAAAATAGGACACATTCCATTTTCACCTATTTTTAATAATTTTTTAATATTTTAGTTAATTTATTTTACATTTTAAATACGTCTTGATTAATTGCATCTATAAATACAAAAAGTTAATTAAAATATTACCAAAATATTAAAAATAAACAAAAAATTATCTAAAAATAAAAAATAAAACAAAAGAGCACTTGTCAACAAATAGTGTGTGGTTAAATTTTATTTTTAATTTAGGATAAAATGTTGTTAACAATTAAGTTTCTATTAAAAAGAGTATTTTTTTATTTTTTTGTTAAATAAAAAATATAATTAATAATCACATTTTTATAAATAAATAAATAAATTTAATTACTATTATGTTTTAGAATCATATGGAGAATAATTTTTTTATATTTTTTAGTTAAAATATAAGGTTAAAAAAATTAAAATGTTTGAAAGGTATTTTTTAATAAAAAATACAAAAAAAAATGAAAGGAATCCTCAAATTTTTTTTTTTATATTGATTTTTTAAAAGCCTTAGAATAAATAGAAATTAAAATTTGCTTAAAAGGTTTAAAGAATTTAGAGAGAGACTCACATATTCAGGGATAGGGTACGATTCTCTTCACTATCATTAGGGATGACAATTTGAACCCAACCCGACGGGGACCTGACCTCCAGACTTCAATTAGAACGATTTTTTCTAGAAAAATACCCCTAACGGGCCGAGGATGGTATTCGAAAATAAATTTCCGATAATTTTTAGACGGGGGACGGTAATATGTTCCCCAACTCCATCCCCGACCCGTCCCGTTCCCATCCCTGTTTCTCTCAAACTAAAAGTCCGACAACTGAGACCGCATGAAAAGAACTACCCGACCCATGATTTAGAACTTGCTGCAGTAGTGTGTGCACTGAAAATTTGGCGTCACTACCTTTATGGGGCAACATGTGAGGTGTATACAGACCACAAGAGTTTGAAATACTTCTTCACACAGAAAGCACTGATCATTAGGGATGGCAATTTGAACCCAACCCGACGGGGATCTGACCTCCAGACTTCAATTAGAACGACTTTTTCTAGAAAAATACCCCTAACGGGCCGAGGATGGTATTCGAAAATAAATCTCCGATAATTTTTAGACCGGGGACGGTAATATGTTCCCCAACTCCATCCCCGACCCGTCCCGTTCCCATCCATGTTTCTCTCAAACTAAAAGTACTATTATACCCGTACATCCATTTATATATATACCCTTCTCTCTCTCTCTCTCTCTCTCTCTCTCACATCCCTTTATTCTCTCTCACTCTCTCTCTTCTCTAAACAGTGACGCAATCACCATCGCATCCTCCTCTGCGCCACCGCTACTGCCGCAATGCCAAAGTCGTCAAACCTCCATACTCCAACGTCAGTTCCCTCCGCCACGACAGATCTGAGCAGACGTGGACAGAAGTTATAAATGTTGCCAACGTCAATTCACTTTCTTTCACACCTCACGTCATCCTCCTCCGTCGTCCATCGCCGCCAATACGTGGCATAATCTCTTTAGTCAGATCTCTCTCTCTTTCTCTCTCTCTCTCTCTCTCTCTCTGTGACACACTCAGATACACAGATCTCAGATCTGTTTGATGACACACAGAGATCTCAGATCTGTGTTGATGATACACACTCAGATCTCATGTATATGTGTATGTATACATGTATGTATGTGTGTCTCTATCTGCCTCATTTTTTTTTTTTTTGGATAGTTGATCTGTTGTGTATGTGTATGTGTATGTTTATGTGTAGTTATAGTTATTTTGGTTGTTGATGTTGATTTTGATGATGTTGTTGTTGATGTTGATGAAATGAAACAGATCGGGAATATGATGTTGTTATTGATGATTTTGTTGTTTTTGTACGGGGATTTTTTGAGGTCGGGAAAACCCGATTCCCGTTAGGGAGCAGGGGCAGGGGCAGAGGGTAATGGATTCCCCGACAAAATTTGGGGAGAGGGGTAGGGGCGAGGGCGGGAATGGGAAAAGAGAAGGGAAATTTTATACCTTCAGGAATCGCGGACGGGGAGTGTAATCCCTGGCCCTGACCCCAGCCCTGGCCCCTTGCCATTCCTAGCTACCATTCCAGTATGCTCACATCCTCACTCTCAATTATGCTCAGGGGTGTTTTGGAAAAATGTTTAGCTTTTAACCAAGTTTTTTGGCATTTTTAGAAAGTGATTTGAGAAGTTAGTAGAAAACTGTTTTTTTACTTTTCGAGTTAATATTTGTTTATGATATCACATCACAATAAAATGACCAAAATATCCCATCTAACTTAGGAAATTTACATTTTGTCATAGCCCTCAAGATGTAAGCATGAAGGGTAGTTACGTAATTTCACACCCTGCATTTTGCACACTTCCCAAATGGTTTTTGTTGCTTTTGTAGTTGCCATGACGTTTTTGTGAAGTTGCAAAACGCAGCTTTTTACTATGATTCCCAAATGGCCACGCGAAATCTCTCTCTCTCTCTCTCTCTCTCTCTAGTTATCTATCTATCTATATATATATATAAGAACTGCTTAACTGCTTGAAATCCGTCTCTCTCTCTAGTTATCTATATATATATATATAAAAGAACCGCTTAACTGCTTGAAATTCGTCTTTTCATTTTAATTTTATCCTTTTATTTTGAATAATTTATTATTGGTGATCTATATGTTGAGTGAAAGTTTTCTTGTAATTACGCAAACATGTTGATCAATTATGAAACAGGTTTTTTTCGTAATTACGCAAACATTCTTGGTCAATAATGAAATAGATTTTTTTTGTAATTACAAAAATATTCTTGGTCAATTATGAAATATAAATATTTTATTTTTTAACAAATTATAAATACACCCATAAAATTTGTTTAAAATATGAATCCGTCCTATAATACTAGAAATTGCAACTATCGTTTGTTATAAATTTTAATTTAACACAATACTCAGGGGAAAAAAAAACTATTATCCTATGTAATAATAATTATCAAAATTGTTTATTGAAAAATATTTTTCATATCATTAAAAACTATTAATTGATTTAATGATTTATTTATTAACAAAATGGTTAATTGAAAAATATTTTTCATACCATTAAAAATTGTTAATTTATTTAATTATTTACTTATTAATAAAATTGATCATTTATAATGTGAGTATGATTTATGTATTAATTAAATTAATCATTTGTATATATATATATATATATATATGTATTTTATTCTGCTCTTTATTAGTTCAGTAAATTATCTTAATATGTTTTTTAGATGAGAGAATTATCTTAGTATTTGATTTATATTTATCTGTTGAGAAAGTTATACACCATAATTTATTTATTTTTTATAAATTCGAAAGAAATGTTAAAGACTCATAAATTTATCCAAAATAATATGCAAAAAATGATATAAATCACACCACATAATTCTATCATATATCTAATAATTTGTTTTATTCAATTTCATAGAATAATATTTTAATATTTAAAAATTATCAAAATACAAAATTTAAATATACTGTAATAATAATTAGTGCTTTGCCCTAGCCTTTGGAAACAAATATATATATCTTCTATCTATCTATCTATCTATACTATTATAAAGTGAACATGAATTTTGGTGTCTTGAAGCTTTACTAACTTTGGTATTCTGATGCTTTACTCTCCTCATGCCATGTGTCAGTATTTTTTATTTTTTTAAAAAAAAGTGAAACAAAGAGATGGGCAAGGCTTGAACCCATGACCATGGGTTTAAGTCTGAGGACTCATACCACTTCAGCTAAGTACATATTATAACATTAATTTCATTATTATTATTTTTTATTCCTACTTATTTAAATTGCACACACATCGTGTGTGTGCCACCCACTAGTATATATATATATGTGTGCGCGCAATGTATCTATAGACGAAACGAATATGTATTCATAATTGTTCTTTCATCCGTAATTAATCTTTGCAATTCAATTGTTCAATATATTCATATCTTTGTCCTATATATTATTCTAAGGTTTGGGCGATTACTTGCCCCCACAGCAAAAAGCTATGGACCAAGAAAAACAGCTCAGAAATTTTTTTTAGGAAGGTGGTTAAAAACTTTTTTTTTTTTTAAACATATTTTAAAAAAACAAGTACAAAGGTGGCGTGACTCAAAAAAATTAAAAAGTAAAAAAGTTAGCTTTTAATCCAGTTGCCAAAATAGAGAAATTATAACAATAAAATAAAACTCATGGTTTGACCATTGTAATAAAATAAATCTTGAATTTTTAATTGTCAATTTATATATTAAATTTTTTATTTGTTTTCAATCTAAGCCATTTGACTATTTTCGTCAAGTAAAATCGATAAAAAGTAGATATTTTAATCATTAAATTCAAGAAAAAGAGTATTTAAGATATTGTATGTATATTTATATTGAGTTTAATAATTAAGATATTCTTTTCTGGTCGGTTTTTGTCAACGAAAATAAGTGAATGGTTTAAATTGTAAGAAAAAAAATCAAAAGATTAGAATTTAAACTGACAAAATTAAAATTTCAAATTTATTTTGTTAGAAATCTCAAACCTGATTTTTTCCTTTTTTTTTTTTTTTTTTTTTTTTTATTGTCCCTATTAAATTTTGTATAATGGGATAATTTATATGCTTTAGAGGATAATCTGTTTGGGTCAAATATTTAATAAGTTTTTTTCACAACATGCTTA